CGTGAACTTCTACACATGACTCCATCCTCCAAAATCAAAAGTTGCCCCATTTAAAACGGTCACAGTTCCTAAACTGGAGTTATGTGCAGCTGCTCGTCTGGCTCAAGTTATTCGGTCTATATACAATTTACGAATATTTAACTGTCAGTTCTTTTGCTGGTCGGATTCTACAACGRTTTTGTCATGGATCAAGGAGGAGCCGTCACGTTTTAATATTTTTGTCGCCAATCGCATTACAAGTATACAGCATTTAACTAATGGCATGTGGTGGCGGTATGTACCAACATATCTGAACCCTGCAGACATCTTGTCGAGAGATGCATCGCCCACAGAGTTATCAAGCTCTTCATTTTGGAAATTTGGACCCCCATTTCTACTTGATTTGGAAGCAAGTTTTTCAAAAAGTGGTATTCGCGTTAGAAATTTACCTGAACGGCAGAAAAGTGCATTCCTTTCGTCAACTTCAGTAACTGATATTTCGCTTGATTGTAAATATAAAAAAGTCCTTTACAGTAATGCAGCGCATATATGGTTACGTACACATCTTCATCAAAAAGGACCATTCTGGTATTCTCGATACAACACATATTTAGCAAGGAACCAGGTATTTACTTCGTATGGTGCAAAGAGCGAATTTTTCTTCTGACTACAAAGATCTTAAAAGGTCTGTGCCAATAAGTACTTCGAGTAAATTTGCTTCCTTGTCACCATTTTTAGACTCATTTGGATTATTCGAGTAGGTAGTCGTTTAGAAAATGCATTATTGGATTACTATTCACGACATCCAATCATTTTACCCAAGGGATATCCCCTAACAGAATCTATTATAACAAATTTTCACCATCAGAATCTACATGGCGGACAATATTGACCCCTTGGAGGCAAAAAGGTGGTGAGTCACATAGTAAGCAACTGCGTGCGATGTTTCAGATTACGACCCAAGATTTGCGAACAGATTATGGGAAACTTACCAGAAGATCGCGTCCGTCAAAGCCGGCCCTTTCTAATCACCGGAGTTGACTATTGCGGACCGTTCTACTACCGATTTGAAATAAGAAGCAGACCATCAACGAAATGTTACATAAGTCTCTTCATATGTTTTACTATGAAGGCGGTTCATATGGAAGTCGTAAAGGATCTATCAACTGAATGCTTTCTAGCATCATTACGTCGTTTTTATTGTACCCGTGAAAAACCAAAGGTCATTTGGTCTGATAACGCCACAAACTTTGTTAGAGAAAAAAATGAAATGGCAGAATTTCAGCAACAATTCCTTAACCTTCCTATACCCGCGCGCATGTCTGTAAGCATGTCATGTTTCGAAAAGACTGATAGTCATTAAAGTAATAATTAATTTATGCTAACAATTGATATTTTTTGTTTTATTATATCCTATAATTCCTATAAAATAAAAAAAAATATAAACGGTTTTATAGAAAAATAACCAGGTAAGAGTAGTCAAAATCACGGTTTGCCACACCGTGCGCGGATATAGGTGCTAAAACATTTTCTCGCAGGTATAGGTAGGTTAAGCAGGAACATGTTGAAGCAGTTTATCGGCATTGTCTTATTGAAGGAATTGACTGGAAGTTTATTCCACCCCGGTCTCCTCATTTTGGAGGTCTTTGGGAGGCCTCAATTAAAATAGCGAAATTTCATTTCTGGCGAATTGTTGGTTCTGCAGTACCCACTTTTGATGAACTTAGAACACTCGTATGTCAGATCTCAGCAGTTATTAACTCTCGTCCACTTTGTCCAATTACAGAAAATCCCTATGATTTAGATGTTCTCACACCAGGCCATTTCCTTATAGGTGCACTACTAACGTCTATACCGGAACCAAACCTTTCAACAATAAACACCAGTCGACTGAGTAACTGGCAGCGAATACAATTCATGCAACAGACTTTTTGGAAGAGGTGGAGTTCCGAATATTTATCACTTTTGCAACAACGCTCAAGATTTCGATATCCAAGGAACAATATCCCAATTGGAACTCTTGTCCTTATCAAGGATGAAGCATTGCCACCACTCAAATGGCTGCTTGGAAGAATCACTAAGGTCTTCCTGGGGAACGATTCTAAAGTTCGTGTAGTTGAAGTTAAAACGGCCAATGGTATTTGCAAACGAGCCATCTCTAAATTGTGCACTCTTCCCATCGATGATCATTTAGCATATCAATTCCATCTTCCTTTTATCAATTCACGAAAGATGAACTCATCACGAATGTTCGGACATTGTCCAAATTATCGTAACTACGATTCTTTAAGTGCACGCGCAATGTTAGCTGCCAAAAATACCGAGGTTGTTGACTTAAACTGGAAGATTCAAAATCAAATTCCGGGAGACAAATCGATTGATCGTCTTGACAATGAAGACGACGTCGTGAATTATCCAGTGGAATTTCTAAATTCTTGGGACAGGCTTGCGTCTCAAAGTTGGATTTGTCGTTATTATGTTCCGCAATCTACGCTATCGAATACAAGGGGGTGGAAGGCTTGATTCTAAGAATTTCTTTGAGTTCGAACGATTTGCCATTTCAGTTCAAACGGAGTCAGCTAGTGATAACAATAAAAGTTTATTCAAAAACAAATTTTTGGTTTTTTAATCGAAGTACAGTTAAAAACACTATAATTGATCAGTTATCATGATAAAAAAGCAAAACTTTAATGTTTTATGTAGTTAAGGATTATAAAAAAATAACAATAAAAAATGTCGTCAAAAATCAAAAAAAAAAAAAAAAAACTTAAGGGTGATCAATCCTTATTGCTTAGGAGTATTGCAAATAGGTAGTAGCCGATTTTCAGACCTACTGGAAGATAAAATTTGGTAAAAATCGGTAAAACCGTTTCGGAGGAATACGGTAACTAACATTGCGACATCGAAATTTTATATATTAGAAGATATGGAATATTCGATATTGCGATAGTGGCTTAGTCTGACCGTTCTACTGCAAATCATTTCAATATCAATATATTTATTAAAATATCGCACCTTTTATCCAATATTAATGATTTAAAAGTAGGAAGTCGGAAAGTATGAGAAGAGGTATAATTATATATATATATTTTGATTTAATATTTGATACGAGACCTTGTTTTGTTTTGTAGCCAAGTTAACAACACCCCACAAGTCGTTTCTCCTTTTTGCATCGTAGCGTTAATTGGAAATTAAAAGTGAAGACAGGTCCTTATTCATCTGGTCTTTATAACGGAGTGGAAGTCTTTCTCTTCTTCTGTTTTTTCTCTCTCTTTTTCTATCTGCAAATGCGTGTCGGTTCCCTCTTCAACTCTCGGTACCTATCTCATCCCGCACATGTTGTCGTCGATCGTAACGTTGAGAGGTGGGCAGTCTGTTTTCTATCTGCTGCAACATGGCACTCCGCATCGTACCAGCTGTTCTTTTGTACTTTCCGAAAACCAATGGTTTCGGTTGCAGCTGAACGTAAGAAGTTTGCAAGTCCAGTAGAAAAACCTTCGTCTATCTGTGATTGCAGCTGCTCCACGTCGAACCTTCCTTGTATTGTTGACGTGCGTTTTTTGAAGCACAATGGCGGGTGCGTATTTTGGCTGCAACAAACTAGTGGGCCGAGGCGATGTCAGAACCCCGGAGCGTACACTCGGCTAAAACAATGAAGACGTGTCTTACGTCTATCACAAAATTATAACTCTAGTTGGTGGTTTTTCGATCCAGAAACAAAGGAAGCTTGGTGAAATTTTCTAATACTACAGACAACCATATTTCAGGACCCGGCAAAGTAGAGCAGCCTCAACCCATTTGAGGATGTTTCCCATGTCAAAGATACCGTAAATTTCTTACATCGGGGCGTGGGCGCAAATCAGTGATGTGTTAAAGAACTTCGCATTGATGCGGCTTGTGGATAGACGTTCATCTACCAGCGTGAATGACAGTACTTCTCGACAACGGAGTCTTTCCTCCACCACGAACCACACACCGAGTTTTCACTCCTTTATATGGCCACTGAAGTCCTTGTTCCGTCCATCGCTCTTCTTGGACGGCGGTGATGTCAGCATTAATTTTTACGAGGACATCAACGAGCTGGGCAGCGGCTCCTTCCAAGTTAAGGGCCCGGACATTCCATGTGCAAGCTCTTAAATCGTTATCGTTAATGCTTTTTGTCGTGGTCTTCTCACTTTAGTTCGCCTTCAAACGGGTCTAGGACCGGAAGTCGTGAGCTGCTTGAGCCATATGTAAAAGAATCGATTCTGGTCACTCCCAAGTGAATCGCGATCAGAGAACTTTGATTACTTGCGTGAACTTCTACACATGACTCCTTAATCCGATGCGAGACCATTGACCACTATTTTATGTAAAAAGAGAGTTATTGGCACTCAGGTCCAAATATTCGGAGTATGGTGACTTAACAAATAATGATCCCATTTCGATATTTTGTGTGAAAATTTAAATGATAATTTTATTTTCATTTAATTGTTTAGAATTAGCGCGCATATCTATTTTCCAATATAACGTAAATTTGGAGATAGTTATATTAAAGTCCATTAAAGTCAACTGTCTTGTTATCCCGATATTTTGTATATACTAAGTTCGAATATGACCTTTTGTCTTTCTCGATTAGGTTTAGGTGGCACAATGAATCCAAAATATATTTAAGCTAATTGATTACAATAAAATGTTTAAAAATCACTTTTATAGAAAAAAAAGGTTTTATATAAAATAATTAATAAAATTAAAAATAACAAGAAAAATTTAGTGGAAGTTTCATAAAAAAGGGTTTAATAAAAAATTTCCAGTTAAATTCGATACATTTCCGTTCGCCATCAACAACTAAGTCAAATTTGTTTATGATTTTTAATTTCTTCGAAATCACTTTATTACTAATTTTACATATTTATTCTAAAAGAATACATTATATATATGTTCTTGTATATATACTATATATTTTTTTACTTTTATAATTACTTTTTATTTACCAATCCTTTTATTATGCAATTCATTTTATTCATGTTTTTTTTTATTATTATCCATGTGTGCTTTTTTAATTGTTTTTGCTTACACTTAAATCGTAATATATTTTATATACCATTTAGTGACTATAACTATATATTTCTCTTCTTCTCCTTTGCTTTTTATTTTCATATAATTCTAGTGGGTTTTTTACAATTTTATCTCAATTCAGAATTTGGTTTCATATTTTCATACCCGAATTGAGTGTGTTTAGTTTTGGGCTTATAATTTCTCAGGCAAACGTTTCTCTTGCAAACGTACATCTTTGAGAACAGAAACTTTGAGTTTAGTAGAAAACTAGCAATTTTAATTGTACAGAAAAAGGACAGCACAGATAATAAATTCAAGATTAGGATTTACAGTTTCAAAGACTTTTTTTTATATATCTCCACTGGATGATGAGTGATAGAAGAAATAAAAATAACAGTTTTCGAAACTACCGGTTTGCACGTTGCAAGGTATAACCTATAAATCAGTTTATTTTGATTACGGATAAAAATAACCTTTCGATATGCTCAACAGACAGTGATGTATAATTCTTCTTTATAAACAAAGGTGGTTCAATCTGAATGTTTCACCCAATTTCATAATTTTTTTTTTTTAAGTTTTAAGTTACAAACATAATGGAAAACCAAATCGAACATAGTTTTCTGAAGCTTCCGTCGATATTATCAGTTGTAAACGAGTATGGACTGGAAGTACACTGGGTTCGATATCATTCGAAACAAATAGTCTCTCGGACATGATTGTCGTGATTATGTACTCAATCATAAATCGAGATGCCGAAAATGAAAATATGAAACCATAGTACATAAATATTATGGTGATTTTTCTTCATTTCCTAACACTATGTGACATATTTTCCATTACAATATTTTTTTAACTTCGTATAAGTGAGTTTCTGCGAAAGAAGTATACCTGTTCTGAGGTTTCAATGAAATTGTGGATTCGAGTGTTCTAATGTTTTTCAATATGATTAATGTCATATTCAGACAAAGTCTAACCAACGGACGTGCAAATTTATGGTACAAGTTGTATCACCGGCTTCATTGTCTTAAACAAAGAAAATATTAAGACAGAATACATAAATTTATACTGTAAAGGAAGAATATATGCTATAACTAAAAGTGTTACAAAGTTATTATTATGTTTTATTAATTATATATCTCTACAATGAATCTAAGTAATTTTGGAGTATTTTCCTTCCCTTATCAAAACAATTTATTAAATGCTAATTTCTTCATAATATCAAAATATTTATTGTGATCTATTAAAAATCACAAATTTCTGTGAGTCATTGGCAGTTCAATATGTCAAAGACGGTAAATTAAGAATATAAACTTGTGTAGAACAATATTTATTGAGAATACTGCATTTTGCGGATATCTCGGTATTAATTGATTACTTACAACGCCCACCATTTTAGGGCAAATATGCTATTTGTGACTGTGGGTAGTGGCAAACTTCCCAGCTTCTAATTCGTATTTATCTACTCGAGAGGTCGCTCTTAGTACGTTTGAAGTACCTAAGAACACAGTTATAGTCTCTCAAAGTTAGACTCTTCGAGTTAGATGTGGTGGATAGAAATTATTATGACAGGGTAGACTTCGACACAATAAATATAGAAATGAAGTACTACTGATAAACAGCTAGATAACCTTTTATTGACAAATAAAGATATTCACGCGAATGCATTAGAGTGGTCTCATGGTGTTTCCGATGAAGACATCCGACAATTTCCGAATTTTTGTATAACTTAACAAATTGCTCGAGCTTTTGTGAGTCTTCAATGAAAAACTTCTACTATAATACCGCTATTGGTAAAATCATACTATTAGAAATAAAAGATTTAATTTTGGTGAAAAATAAACCGTCCATACTAAGGCCTACAACTGTAAAAGTAACTTACCAAATGCCAACAGATTATATACCAGAGCTGTGCATATATAAGAGTCAAAGGCCTTATGTTATTTTAAGCTGGCTTTTGGTTTACATACTTCAATTCCAACAAAACTGGGGGACAAATATAAAAGTCCAGCTTCGACTTATTTGTTTACTCGCCTATGTGTATCTATTACAATTAGAATATATTTATTAATTTAATATCCCGCAATGACTACTTAGCAGGCAACTATTTTTCGCTCAGTGGGTATTCCAAAAAGGTACAATACTTAAATGTAAAAAAATAAACGAAAAATAAATAAAAAATTTCATATACATATATATGTATAGTTATTTAGCACACTGCCACACTAAATATATTTTTTGTTCTTTAACTCCAAGACAGTTTGCTTCCTTGGCGCGAAAGCATAAGTTTTCTACACTACCGCCAATGAACGGAATCATACTGCTCACGCTGTTCCTGCCTCGCTGCACACAACTGCTACACTTGTGCGCCTAGCGGTTTGCTATGCAACCAACACTCGCACCTCTAGTATCTGCTGTGATAGGCGTGGCCAGGCCCCCGACACATGCGGCATAATATCGCCACGAACAGTGTCAGCAATAAACTCAGACCTAATGTGATTAATATGAGTTTTCCATATGGCAACTCGCTTAGCTCTTGACGCAGGCAAATTTCCGGTGACTCGTCATGCAACACTAGATCTTTGTAAGCGTGTGCGCGATGCAGCAGACCGAGTTGCTCCAAATTCCACTCAATGTGCCGCGTTAGTTGAGTCATCGTCGAGATGTGCGTCACATTCGGACAATTGTCAACACCATTACATAGCAGGCGGCGCGGTATGCAGACCTCTGTATCGCCGGGACAACGGAAATCACAGCCGCCATCTTGCAGCAATGACGATGCCAAACTACCGTCGGGATTGCGTGGCAAATGGAACAGTTCGGTCCAAACTAAACGGAAGGCATTTTTACCCGGCTGCCCGTCGCCGGTGTATTGAATCAGGACCGGTAGCGGTTCTTGATCAGGACCGAGAGCACCTAGATCCGCAGCGGAGAGTATAGGCAGATCACGCGCCAACGAAATGTTTTCCGGGCACATTATGAAGCGAGGCTCGAGACGGCCGGCGAGATATACCTCAATTTTAGCGCTCTCACAGGTGCGATCACCGAAGCGCGCCTTTTCCAAATTCAACCATAGATCGCGTTGTGCCGCTACTTTCAGTTCCCAAATGCACTTTTCGCGACGATAATGATGCTCAGGCACTGCGGCCATTGGGCCCGCCGCCATGGCCAATGCTTTCTTATACGGAAACACCAATTCACCATCAGGCGAGGGCCCCAATGTTATGGGACCACATAGCGGACCGTGCGCAAACTCATAAGACGCCTCGAATAGTGGATTGGGATTCTTGAAATAGGACGTGATCGCATGTTGACCCTGTACGATCATCTCCAGGTTCATCTGATCCGCTGATGATATCACGCGCACAGCTCGCGGTATGTTGTCGCAGAAGCAGGCGAGATTATTCTGGAATTTCTCTCGTTCCTCCCAAATGACCAGCTTGTCAACACGTTCTTCATGGCAACGCGTGCAGGCATTGTTATTATACGGCAATTCCTTAAATGACACTGAGGTAACTTCGATTACTGCGCGTGCATATAATCGACGATCAGTCACGAACTTATATTGGCAGCGTACATCAGACCCGCCGGTGCGTTTGAAGATTAAAGAATTCATTGGTGAGCGAATTTTGCCACCCGGATGTTTCCAGGCATACATAACTTCATCGCAGAGCGTATTCGGCACTGGATCGCCGAAGCGTGTATTATTGAAGAAGTCATAATGTGCCCAATAATAGAGCGATGAGCCACTATAGGAACCCGTTTTCGAATCGAATTGCACATATAGCGAAGGACTAGTACTCACGAAGTCCACTTTTTCCATGGGTCGTGAGAATGTATCGCAAAAGGTTTTGATAATACGTGCTGGATCGGGATGATCTGAATCGTAAATGGTCAGCGATTCACCGCAGTCACCGTCGTACTTGAGTATCGGTGACTCGATGCGATTTATGCGGAAGCTGCAAAGAAGAAAAAATAAAACATTAGTTGGGGTTAAGAAAAATATAACAAAATGATGTACGTTAAGAACGATTTGAATACAGCGTGTTTTCGGTCGACAGCTGTTTCGATTATGGGTAAATTTCCAACTATCCTATCTTGCGGACTAAACTTAAAAGCTACAAAGAAGGCAAACAGCAACACAAAAACCCTGAGGTTATGCCGCTATTAATAAATGGTAGCTGGCTAACAATAGGCCATAAAGCTAATTGGGATTATTTTTAGACAGAAACCTTTCTTGAAAATCAAACTTGCACACTAGTAAAGAAAGCAGTTACAGCACTTTATAATGTCCAATTGTTGACTAGAGACTCGGGTTACTTATTACTGTAATGGAAATAAAATATCTATAAAATTTAATTTAAATTCTAGGAAAGAGTAGAACATATGTGAAGTGAACAAGGACACAGGGATTTATACTGATGGGTTCAAACTAGATAATCGAGTGGGAAGTGGTGTCTTTTCAACAAAATTAGACTAACTACTGCAGAGCCTTCCAAGCAAAGATCACATTAATTAATAAAAAAAAAACCTTGTTGTTCTAACAAGGAGTGTACTCACGTCAAGAAATATATAGGGGTTTTCAATAGGGCACTATAAAAGTAGACAGATAGGACAGCAAATGACAATTTCCCCCGCTCTTTTGACACTTTTTCAGTTAAGTTAAGAAGCAAAAATGGTTTGGGATATCAATGAAGTTCTTTATTCCTGTGAAAGTACATTCGATGTCATTATAGATAAAGTATAGGAAACAAATCGGGACTAACGATTGAGGATAAATGAAGATTTTAGTCTTGGTGGTTTCGCAATGGGCCTTCTAAAAGCGTATGCAAGTCGTTCGGAATCTACTCTACCCACCTAACTATTGCCTTAAAGGGGGACACTTTGCAGTGATCGAAAAGAAATGAAGGGTATAGCTATCCATATGTTGTCTGTTGAGTTATACATTATTCAAATTAAAAGACCAGAGTTTAAGTAAATTTCTCGAAACATGGCTTCTTAATTTAAACATTGTGACTAATATTATTATCATCGCTAAAATAGTTTTCATGTGTTTTGAAAATTTTAAATAAAATTAATTCATATTTCTCCTAAAGTGACATGTTTGGCATGGTGCCATCGTCACGCACTACCTCTAATACAATAATACAACTACTGCATCTACCTCCCTCAACTTATGTGTGTTACTACGCTCAAATGCCTAAAAATATGCAATAATTCCGAAATATGTGGCAAAGTATAAAATCTGGTAGCCCGCCGTCCGAACGACAGCAACGAATTGAATTACACTGCAAAAGCCACACGTTAAGGTGTTGAGGATGTAGTAACCTTAAGATGTTGAGGATGTAGTAACCTAGCGCAAGGAGGCTTGAATGTAACCTGTGACACAAGTATCAACACACCCAAAAATAGAGCATAGAGGTCAACCACTTTTCGTTGTTCCTAAGCCAACACCCTTGAGCCTACAAGTCCTAACGGTGGTTGCTAGACAGTCAAACAGCTAGGCAGCTTATCAGACCGCATGGAAATACATACCTATGTACGTATTCAGTTGTCTTGGCTTGGGGTATGGTAATCCTTTGCCTTTGCAGCACAAAATTTTATGAACAACGTCGCAGGTAGTATTTAGACCACTTATTTTTTTACAAAGATTTAAGCAACTTATTTTTCTCCATATATGGATATTTATGCAGCCTACACGAAGCAACCGCAAATATTTTTGTTGCGCTCGCAAATTGAGTTAACATGATGTCAGCCGTGCAAATAATGTGTAAGTTAAATTGGTGAGCTGTAGTGGGTATGCTGAGTGGTGATGTTGAGAATTTCGGTATATACGTTTTCTCTATAAAAATGTAACTTTCTCAGCGGTATGTGTGGAATTTTGGAAATAAGCGTATTTTGTTGCTAATTTCAAGGTCATTCGAAAAATCAATTTCATAGAATCTTTTTAAAAATAATTCTCGTAGGTGGAACATATGGATCTTTCGAAATAATTGTGTTACGAACGATATTTTGGAAACATTTGTATTTTTCATGAGAATAAGTTTTCGTTGACACTTCAGTTTATTCGCAGAATTGAGTTTTCAATTTATTATTTTAATTTATAGTAAGAGTAAATACTTGGTAAATATATATGTATGTGTATGAATGTTTGTTCCTATGTCCAAATTTCATTACTGCAATATCTTTATTTACTAGTGGTTTCATGGAAATTTCGCCCAAATCTGATTACAGAATATTTTTCGGTTTAGTAATCATACGTTTGAAATAACCAAATTTTAAATTATTTTAATTACGGAATTCAGTTAGCAATGCGAGTTAATAAAATTTTTCGTAAGAAAGTAGGTGGAATTTTTGAAACAAATAATTTTTTTTACATTCCTACGAAAATATAGACTAATTGTCTATTATCAAAAATGGCACGTGTGGAACGTATGAAATAAGAGAAACACCTATCAAAACTTAGAGTATAAACGAATTTAAAACAGATGAGTTCACTGCACTTTTTTCAATCAAAAACTTTATTTGTATTATATACAATTATTTTTATTTGGCCGCAGACATTGTCAAAGGCTGGTAGAATATCAGGCATTTTTACATGTGTATGTGTGCGTGTGGGTGTAACGGAAAATTACTTGAGCTTCAGTTGTATTGGCTTGCTAAAAATTATATTTTTGTGGTTGACTGTTTGTCTATCTGCTAGCTTGCCAGCTGTCAGCCTGTTTATGAAAAATGTGGCTGCTGCGCCTTGCCTCTTATCATTACCCACAAATTCGACTTAAATTAAGTTACTTTTATTATTGTTATTTTCTTTTCATTACGTTTCCCAGCTCCATTTCCTGCCATTTTTATCTGCAATGTATGTTTTTTCAGTTATTTAGTTAGGTTAGCTTTGTAAGCTCACACATGGACACATTGTAGAGACTTACAGAAACACGTTCATATAAGTTGTGTTTTCCACAATGCAGGCTACATTTTTCAAGAGCATTCGTAATCAAGCTGCATACGGAGTCCAAGGATTTCGCTGCAAGTCTGCTCCATAATAACTACATACAAGCGGCAACTTCTTCCCCATCGTTCAAGCGCACCATCCACATACAAGTGGACAAGTGCTGACTTTATTTTGTGGTGCTTCAATGCAGATTTCCTAATAATACTTATACTGCACATTTTTAATATACCAATCGTATATTATTTTTGTTGTATATTTCCCATATGTCATTCGCCCTCAGTAGTGTTTGTCGAATTTTATAAAGTCTTTTACCGTATTTGTGTTAAATTTTGGCCAAACACTCAACAAATATCATTGCCAACTATTTATTACACAATAGGCAGCCGAACATACACACATGAATAATACATCATTGGATAATATAATCCTTGCAACAGTAAAAAGATAAAGCAAGAGGTACCAGAATTGTTAGAATTAACTTTTTAGCAAAAATCAAATCATAGTCTTACATTGCCTGAAGATGCATTCTTCAACATTTTCGGCCTTTGTGGGCAATCGAGTTTCGGAAATTCTGGATTTAACCAAAGGGGTCCATTGGAGACATGAGGATGTACCGTAAAGGTACACCGGACCAGGGTTTCTATACGAAAACTCAAATAATGGGCAAAGGACAGTTGCAATAATATCGAGGTAGAAATTGTCCAAAAGGAAAAGTGAAAATCTGCATTCAAATCAATCAAACACCAATTACATTTTGGAAATCATGAATCAGCGAAGTATCTACACTAGCAGTCTTCAACATATACATGGCATTCATTTAACGACAAATTATTTAAATCCATTTTTGGAGTATATAGAAGGATATCAAATACTCAATGTTGGAGGTCGATTTGAATCAGCAGACATACCAAAAGAAAAGAAACACCTAATGCTGTTGCCAAGCAAATGAGAATTCGTTATCGTTATTCGTTATCGCTCTCCTCGTAGCACTAATAATACTTAAGTTTTAAATAATCATTGCACGCGATTTATCACGACGTATCGTCGCACCATGCACACATTGCACATAGTTACCTGTCGAGCAATTGACTCCATCTTAGCCCTTTGAGCGTTGCGCTAATGACTTCTACGGACCAGTAAACGTATATTTGGGCATACGCGAGCACCTCATTTCGGCGGTCATTCACAACGATCAAAGTGATTTTCGTGTGGTGAACATTTTTTTATGGCGAGATGTAAAAAAATCATCAAAAGACACTGTTGCCCTTACAACAGTAGTGTGGGACTTTAACCCACTAAAAAAACATCTCAATAACAACACATAGCTTTGATGAATTACCCTGCGGAACTACCGATTAAGTATTACATCGCAGAGCAAGCTAAGCCTATTGACTATAACGCCTCAGGGATTTTCGAACTGGTTTTGGCTGTTTTCCTCGCTATGTCGCAGTCGCTCTAGTCTTCGCTGCTCTTGAATAACCTTAGCGGCCCATTGCTTAACATGGTTCCACACCTGCTTTGACCGCAGCATGTGTGGCACTATGTTGTCTGGCATTATTCTTCCAGAAATTTCCGTTTCTAAAAATGTCCTATCCTCCTCATATTTTGTGCAATGGAAGAAGATATGTTCAGCATTTTCTTTTCCATAACCACAGGATGAGCATATTTCTACTTCATCATGGTCATATTTGTGGAGGTATTCCCTAAAACAGCCATGACCACTTAATAGCTGCGTCAAGTAAAAATCAACGTCGCCATGCTTTCTGCTAACCCAGGTTTCGTCATTTTCAATCAACCTGTACGTCTATCGTCCTTTGGGCACTGAGTCCCACATAGATAGCCATTCTTTGAGACTCGGCTGTCTTTCTTCCTCGCGCTCTCTAACAGTTAAGGCTTGCCGTTACTTTTGCTTCTACTGTGCACTCTCTTTAACTCACCAGCCATTATTTCGGGTGGCATTATGCCTGCGATCACTACTGCGGCTTCGTGAGACACCGTACGGAAGGC